ACCTTCTAAGAGCTTTTGACAACTCGCAGATTTCGTTTTTTCGTTCGTTTTCATGCACTGTTATGGCCTTCTTGAAAGTATATTATGTTGGTTTTGTAATTACGTACTCAAATGGTATAGGTACAAAGGACTCCGCACTGCCTTTATGAAAAGAGGGCTCGCTCAAATTGGCTGAAATTATGATAAGTTGTTGGTTTTGTGTTGCTGACCAATGGTCTCCAGAGTACTTTGGTTCAAATATCAGTTATTTCCTACTTATAACGGTCTGAGTCAATATTGCAATGAAAACACTAACTTCTGTGAAATGTTTATAGAAGAAATTAATCGGATCACTTCGAAAAGTTGCCAATAAACATTTTTGACATATTGTGCCTAATTGGTCCCGGGTCCAAGCTCGGGGTCCCACCACTCAAAATATGGTGAAGGGGGAGGGGAGAGAATAAACAATCTCATATTACAACCTAGGTCACTCTGGCTCTGAAAGTAGCACCATATACAGGGTGTTTCACCTAAGAGCGATTCTTCTGGGAGTCTGTAACTGTAAAATTTATAAGAATAAATGGTTTTATAATTCTCGGGAAAGAGTAAAGGCTTAAATAATCTCACAATCCTTTTATTAAGACGACTAGTTTCGAGGTCTACACTTTGCACCTCATCACAAGGCTACAAAGTTAATTTTTTTGACTGTACTAAAACAGAACCTTATAAATACAGAACCTTGGTTATACATTGTAAATGTGATATGTAAGTATGCACATATAGTTTTATTTGTTAATAGTTTAAAAAAAAAATTTATACTTTTAGTATAATCAAAAAATTTAACTTTGTAGCCTTGTTATGACCTGAAGATGAGGTGCAAAGTTTCAGTTTTGCGTTTTGTTTTAGTTGTTGTTAATGGTTTACTTTTGTTTGTCAAACCACTTTTTAAACATGCCAGTAAATATTGACACTGTCAGTCCCAGGCCTGATAAAATGTGAGAGAAAAGTGGTTTTGCAAGACCTTCTTGACGCTTTTACATAGCTACTTTTTCGGACTTTAGCAAAGAACCTGATTTTTCTGGAAAACTGTTAAAGATAAGTATGAACAACAGTCGAAAGGGCATTCAATTTTGCATTCACCCATGATAATTATTAAGGGTCATTCCATTTGAAAATAAAATAAAATTTCAACTCGTAAAATTTTTAAATGTAGGTCTCAGTATTTCCGGGTCTGAATAACATACACGTTTTGCTCTTAGATAACAAGATAGAGTAATTTATGCCAAAACGAACTGTGAAAACTGCAGGTTTCTAACTCTTATAGTTTAGACGCTATCTAGCCTCATTTAGAGAGCAGAAATTGTGATTTTTTTCAAAAACAACTGATTATCTCGACAACAGTAAGTTTTAAACACCATGTACAGTCAATAAACTCTACCTAATATTAACCAAGGAATTCAAAAACGTAATAATATACAGGGTGTTCTATTTAAAATAACAAATTTATGCAGCGCCCACGCGAAATGAAACACCCTGTAAAGCTAAAAATATTTTCTTTATATGGCCCATATGGTTCCAGGCAACTTTTGTTAAAACTATTTTTTTATAAATTTAATAGTTGCAGAGTTACAGAAAAATCCCTCTTAGGTTGAACACCCTGTACTTTTTTAACGATAAGACTGATTCATTGCTTTATCTAATTCACTCATTGATACTTAGAGATAATATTGCATTTCACTGAGAGATGTATGAATCTATAAACAACTGTTACCAATTACCAATGCGGCCAGTTTGGCGTTCGGCACATGTCAAAAATGTTCATTAACAACTTTTCGAAGTCACCCTATTACTTTTTTCTATAAACATTTCACAAAAGTTGTGTTATTGCAAATTAAATATGTACGTTGACGACCTACAGTTTATCATTGCGGGAAATTTATCTTCATAGTGCCTGTAATACTCATCCTCTTTGTCCAAAACCTTAGCGAATTCATTAGTCCAAGTTTTATGTGTAGTGTAGAAGAACTGTCTTCAAACTTTGATTTGAGGAGTTAATGTCAACCTTGACAATACAACATATCCTCTTTGGTTCCTTCAGATTTTTCTTTTCTTAAGTCTAGGTTGTATTGTGTCCTTCCCATGGTATCTTCACTGTCCATTTCACCATCATGGTATTCCTCTTCATTTTCCTTCTCGTTTCCAGATTCGTGTTCAATGGGTTCGATAATATGGAGATTACAATCTTTCAGCACATTCACAAATAACACATTTTTTGAGAATTTGAAGGCATTTCATCTAAACTGGTGGCTGTTGGTGCCAAACTGTCAACAAATTCGTTTAGTAAGGCAAAAAACATGATACTAATAGGACCTAATCAAAAGAACAGACTCCTGTTATTATTACATTACTTTCAGCCAAATCTCAGGAAGTGATTCATCTGAAAATAATGCAGCGTCGTCTTGAACTTTCTTTCACTAAGTATGTTTTAATGTTCACATACTAAGTACTGGTACATATCGCACAAAGATAAAGATATAGGACACTTCTTTGTATTAACCTAGAAAAATGTATCGAGCATTCTTGAAGTGAAACAGCGAACTAAAATTGATCATGTACGTGTTTAATGAATACTTAAAATCCATTAAAAAGTTTGAGTTACTTAGACAACATCTATCCGAACTTGTTATGCAACAGGATATCTTATTTCATATGCATGAGATCGTGACTTTTGCAAACAGAATCACATCAGAACTGTTTCTAATTAATGAATTTGTATTCATGTATTTCTGTCTCTAAACTCAGACGCTGAGTGGTTGATTTTGTCGTTTATGGTGATAGTTTGGGTAAATATTGAATCGTCTAATATCGATGTTTACACATTTTTATGGCAGACCTATATATATGACTGTATTTACACAAAGCATTGTATTCTTCGAGCTGGACTTTTTGCAAAAATATTTTTATTACGCGGAAGCACGACTGACGTCAGGAAACTTTGTTGTGACTTATTTAGAAATATTATAAATCATTTCGTACGTCATAATATAGTCAATTAGACTTGATTGCAATGACGAATTTTGTTAACTATATAAAAAAAAGGTCACAAAACTATGATATGAAAGCAGTCCAACACGTTTTCATTATTTTCAGATGTTGTGAAATCAGAATCGCAATATTTTCTTTATTCAAAAGTGAGTCTTCAATGTATCTTTCCGCCACAGTGCTCGATCTTCATCCTCCGTGTTTTTAAGGCAAGTGAGGTCACCACCGTCGTCAACTAAAAGGGTGGCGTAATGCGTGTCCACTGTACTCTTTCCAGTTGTCCAGCTTCAAAAATTTTGCCACTTCTTGCGAGACGGCACTGATTTTATGAATACGGACCATTCGATGACACTTTCCACTAACATATCTGAGAAATAATCGACGTTCTACTAATTTGGGTCGACGTCAAGCAACATATATTTGATGAAAACTTAAATAATTGTCTCCCAGCACAGGAAAAGGACGTGGTCTCTTGGTTTTGATATTGGGAATTTTTATAATTAAGGCGGATTTCATATCTTCAACATTATCAATTGTTAAATTGACTAATTCATCAGAAAAGGCATGCGCTTGCTTGCAACCCCCAATTTTATGACGATCTATAAAGAAGCTTTTTAAAAATTTTGTCTATTATTTTTAAAGCATTTACCTTCATCATCAAATATAAATTATCAGGTGCATTATTCAAACTTTGAATATTTGCTTATATCAATTCCCTTCTTTATATCCAACGTTTACTGCAACATTGAATAATGTAACCAAAGCGTTGACGGCTTCATTTTATTTGCTAATAGAAATACACCGTCAATACATTTTCTGAATACAACTGTTTTTTTTCTTTGCATCAATCCATACAACGTTGGTAGACACATTCATACATTTCTCGAGATTTCTTTAGGAGAAGATTCAAAGAAACCTCTTTCGCACACTTCAGTATCTCCTCAGGTATATCCAAATCTTCATTAGATTCCATTTTTACACTTTCAGCAAATTGAATCACATACAATCAGGAATGAACTCAATTAGCAATAAGGCGACTAATGTTTGATAAATCTTCCATGACTACTTCGATATATCCTACTTACCTACTTTGCTTTATCATCCAAATTTGGTTTGAATAATTTCAAAGCACAAATTAATAATTAACTGGGGGATTTCTGTTGGAGAAAAAATAGCATGTTTTATTCGGATTAAAAATAACACTTTTAATCCTAATATAACAATATACTATTCTTGTCAATATTAAAACTAGGATTACAGAAAAATGTATGTTAAGGATCTGTGTGAAATAGGTCAATATTATAGTTTTGACCTTGCTGTAGGTCCTAGCCATGATCTGTTGTCTGTTATTAAATAAAATATATCAAGCAAAACAAGTAGTCGTGGATGGTAAACAAATAAAGAAACAATATTACCTCACAAATGTCGTTTTAGTTAGTTTAAGCGCATTTTTCAACAGATTTACATGGTAAATAATAGAACAGAAGTGATAAATTTGCGATATGTTAACCTCGGCTTTGCCATTTTTAATAAAACCTACTAGCAGGAAATCTAAAAGTATTTCTTTTGAAAATACATATTTATAAACTCATAAAATTGATGGTATTTACAAATCTGATCGAAAATCGATCACAATATCAATTCTTCCAAATTATGCGAATATCTGTTAAACTTGAAGATGCAAATGAGGCAAAATTCAAATGTCCACCTATTACGGAACCCATAACAATAAAAATAATCGAAAGTCGCCCATTCCGATCGGGCCACTAATCAAATCGCCATTTCCGAGAAACCGAAACTGTGCGATGGTGGTAGGGCGCTGAATTATTGCAATTCGCGGACGGCCTTGACATCAGCTGTGCTCACCTCCAGGATATATAATCAGACCCGACGCAAGATTGAACCTGACATACCAGACAGACCGGCGACAGTGACCACTTTTTGCTGTTCATTCATTTGTGGTTGATAGCTCGCGAGTGACTGCGTGCAGTGGAAAAGGCAGCTCCGCCAATTTTTCGAACTTCGTGATTACTCCGCATCATTTTCTTCGGTGATTTTGGTATTCCACGTTGGTGAGTAACTATTTTCCACCTATGTTTCCAAATTTTGACTCGAAATATGTTTTCTATGAATTTTTAACACAAACTACCTCATATCGTTAACTACCGCATTAAAATGAATATTAAACTGAAACATTTGCTTAAACAATTGACTCTGGGAAAAAAATTAAGTTTAAACAAATATTTGCTTCATTTTTTATTACTTTTTCATTTTAGATTGAATAAATCTGCGGTTACGAAAATTATACAAGAAACATAATTCTTTTAGAAAATATTTTGTATACTAATATATACCTATGAATATGAGGAGCTCAAATAGGAACCCTGAAGAACCCTTTAATGTAACAAATAACAACATTCGAATCAATAAATCTAGATAGAAAATTTGGACTACAGTAACTAGATTTTTCTAAAATTATGTTATACATATAGTGTCCCGTTCATTTTCAAATTGTTGTTTTCAGACAGGGTGTTTCCCAGATTTATTAAAGGTCTCCAAAATAATATGTCTACCGAAAAAAGGTGATGCGAATGATGTATGTAATTACAGGCCAATTGCACTGTTATCGGTATTTTCTAAGATATTTGAAAAAATTATTGCCAAGAGAATCACAAGCTTTTTAGATCAATATAATATACTTATTCCAAATCAGCACGGTTTTAGGGCAAAACATTCAACAAACACTGCACTACAGGATTTTTTGCATGTATATGGTAATTTGGATAAGGGAAATAGTGTATTGGCTGTATTCTTGGATCTGTCAAAGGCTTTTGACTGCGTGGATCATGATATTCTACTAAAAAGGGTGGAGTGTTATGGTCTTCGTGGTCAATGCAACAAGTTATTAAGATGTTATCTGACGAGTAGAAAACAGTTTGTAGAATTTTATGGTACCACATCATCGGACAAAACAGCTTCTATTCGGTTAGGGAGTATTTGGAGTTTTAGTGTGTTGTTTTGTACATATCTTTTTTTTGTGTGTAGTTTTACTGTATTTTCTTTTTAAAAAAATGGCTGTAAATTTTTTTTGACATATCCTAGATCATTGTATGATTAACTAGATGAATAAAGATTGATTGATTGATTGATTGTTTCAAAATAAATTTGTGTGCAAGTTTCTCATGGAAAAATAGTAGGGGTAGTTCATGTAAGGTTTTTTTCTTAGACACCCTGCTTTCGAGATGCAGTGTGTTGAAGTTGTTATTTCCAAATGGTTTTCCTTAATTATCTAAAAATCGGCTAAAGATAAAAATGTCAAAATTTGTACACGAGTAAACATCAACTGTGCGTTAAGAATAATGTGCAAAGTTTCCTTCTGAAAAGCAGGTAATTAGAGGGTACAATCGAAAAAAAATATGTTAAAAGTCAAAATTTATTACATTTCTAAACGGTTCTGTAAACTCTAAAGCGTTCTACAAAGAAAAAGGTATACTTGTCGAAATTCGGTAGCATATATCATTTTCGATAAAAATGAAGTTGCATAGAAAGAAATGGGGGACAGTTTCAGTATCTACTGTAGTATTTCGCATTTGCACATTTATTTAATTGTGCAGCTGGTTTGTTCTGTATGTCTCCGAGTCTGTTTCCTAATATTTTTCTTTTCTTATCACTTTTTTTAAGCATTCATCAACAATTCAGTCCATTCAACAATGGTTTATTTTAGTAGTGGTAGTGTAGTAGTTTACAAAATCTAAAATTAGTTAATAATAGATAATTAATAACCATAATCTGTTTATTTTAATTTACTTTTTTATATGTTAGTTTACATCAAACTGAAACTTTTTTTTAGTTAATAAAATGTTTTACAATTTAACTGTTTCATGTGATACGTAAGAAATTAAAATTATAGTCTTAAATACAAATACCGTTGGTAGCTAAATGTCTTCAGCTCATTGAATGGTAAGGTCCTCTTTCAATTTAATATTTTATTAATGTACTAGTGCCGCTTTAAGTGAGCAAAAAAAATGCAACTTCATTTTTCTCGAAAATGGTACATGCTACCGAATTTCGATAAATATACTTTTTTTGTAGTATCCTTTAGAGTTTACAGAAATGTAATAAATTTTGACTTTTAACATATTTTTTCTTCAATTGTACCCCTTCAATTACCTGTATCGGCGACACTACTTTTCAGAAAGAAACCGTTTGCACATTATTCTTAACGCACAGTTGATGTTTACTCATATACAAATTTTGACATCTTTAGCCAAATTAAAAATAATTAAGGAAAACAGATCGTCTAAGAAAAAACTTTACGTGAACTACCTCCATTATTATCCCATGAGGAACTTTTTGAAACATGAACCCAGGGTGTCCCGCCTGGGTATAAAAATTTTGGTGATTATTATTTTAAAAATGTAATAAAGTAATAAGGAGTTCTCCATTTTTATCATGACGATCAGCAGATTAGACACGATAATTTTTTTAATAAATATAATTTGCATCGTCGGAACAGCCTTAAATTTATATTAAGAGAAATTAGCATATAAAACTAAACGTTTGTGGAATATTAATAAGCTCTAACTTAAGTAGGAATTTTGAGATATGTAATTGATTACTATGTGTTTGATAATGACTTTTTTTTCTCTAATTTAATATTATCCTCATTAAGTATCCTCATTTAGCATATTAGAAAATATTTAATTTATTATTCACTGGACGCTGCGAAGTAGCAATCATTTAAACGTTTTTTATAAGTTTTTAGAATCTCTCAAGAATTGTTACATGTTAAACAAGATGGGAAGCTAACAGAATGCTTTGAATTTTAACGTACATATATTTTGTAATAGTTTAAAATTTGGTGAAAGAATTACTATTCCTAAATGTAGTTTTGAAACCCGCATCTAGCACCCAAAGAAATTCGCGAAACTTTCCTAGAAAGTTTTGTTCCGTTGAGTATAAATTATAAAACGTTTGATTTAGGGATGTTCCAAAACTTTATTTAAATTATTTTTAAAGCCTTCGTAAATTTCAAGTTGCAAGACTAGATATCCAATAAATCTAGACTCTCCTTCCTCTATGCTACGTCAACCAGGTCCAGAGCTGTGGAAAATTGGAAATAAGTGTCGTCGTAAAAATAGAAACTTACGTTATTAAATAATTGTCGGGATTATTTTACAAGTTAGTACTAAGTTATGTAGTAAAAATACAAAAAATAAGAAAAAAAATCACATAATAATAATATAGAATACAATGAAGTGGCCGTGGTCACAGAATATTATAACATTAAACTGCAATAAAATTCTCGGTTGCATTTTGTAATAATAACATTTTCAAAGTACAACAATGAACTTCACACGTACAGCAATATTTATTGAAATTTGTACACATAAGATGAATTGGCGACTTTAAATATGATATTAGTTCCAAGTTTGTTACATTTGACACTTACATTAGATCTTGAATTATATCGCGGTACCATATCCATGTCGTTCTTGATTATATCTTCCGAACGGTTTGACCGAATCAAATCAAATTGGGTACAGAATATTACCTAACAAATCTGCATGATTTGAATATGGTGATGATAAATGAAGTCAATCAGGAACGGAGATTCAGGTGCCCCACCTTTTTCTGAACAATGCTTCGCGAAATGTTCGCAAAAGTAGTAGCCATTTCTGAAAAAGCAGTAACAGACTCTCATTGTACTTCCTTAGCTTTAGCTAGAAATCTTTAACTAGCTCTTTTTATTCTTGGGCTAAGCGCCGTGGCGGCGAAAACGTTGACAGAACCCCAATGCTCGCCCTGATGTTCACTCCGGTTTTTATTGGTTCTAAAACAGCTATAGATGGCCTCTGTAACTGATCGCATCCAATGCTTCCAAACGTTTCGCTGTTGCTCACTGTCTGCATCTTCAATGGTGACTCTGTAAAAGTGTCACTACTAGTAAGTTAATCATCGTTAGTCTCTTGAACAAAACATTTTCGGGCGTAAGGCCATATGACTTTTACCCTTATTTTTTTAAGTAAAATTGCTTTTAAATTTGTTTTTACTTTTTTAACACCCCGTATAGGTAAATTATTATTTATATACAACTTTTACATTTACAATTAAATCAAATAAAATTTTAATTTTTTCACTATAATAATGTTCAACTTCTGCTAAAAGCATAACAGTGTGTGCTTTGAGCATATCTTTAATTATTTTTGACACATAGCAAGCTCATATTCTATTTCTATATCTCTTATTTTCTCTTATCTACTTTTATATCAGCAATGCCATACATTTTTTTTAATTATTAACGAAGATTAGAAGTATTTTGATAGATATTAATCACACGAAACGCTGCGTAAATAGAAGAACTAAAAAATATCTATTACTATAAAAATTGTTCAAAATGAGTGTCGCTTTGCCTTATGCACTCACGAGCACGTCTATAGTGATGGCTGTACTCTCCAAATCATTTGAATATTACTTTTTATTTCCTGACTACGGTGGAAATTCCTTTGCTGCAGTCCATCTTCACATGCCACAGGAGTTGCGTAAACACGTCTTTTAAGATCACCCTACACGCAAAAAAATGTACATCTGATTTAAAGGTGTCGCACGTTTATATATACGCAAGAAAATATTCTCTTCTTTCAAGAAAATTACTTATTTATTTAAATACTTTAAATTTATACCCAGAAATATAATTTCTTACTTTAAAAATAGGCAGCATTTAAAATAAATATTTCGTACGTACGATTAAACGAATTCTATTCTTAATTTTATGATCTACATAGATTTTATAGAAACAAGTATTGTATATTAATGTATCATTTGTTTAATACAAAACTGAATAGTTTTGGTCAAACGATTGTATATAATATATTTGGATATAAATATTTCTCAGAATTCTCAGTAATAAAAAATATTTTGTCTCAAACTCACAACACCTAGTACAACAGCTAGGATCGTTCGTAAGTTTAACCAGCCAGAAATAGGTCGGTTTAGGACTTATTGATGGTCCTCATCATTACGTCGTTAGAAGTGTTAGAACGATCCAGCTGCTGTAGTGTCGTTACTCACA